AGTTATAATAACAGCAGTTTTACTAAATATAACAACAGTTATAATAACAACAGTTATACTAAATATAACAACAGTTATAATAAATAACAACAGTTATAATAAATATAACAACAGTTATACTAAATATAACAACAGTTATAATAACAACAGTTATACTAAATATAACAACAGTTATAATAAATAACAACAGTTATAATAAATAACAACAGTTATACTAAATATAACAGCAGTTATAATAAATAACAACAGTTATACTAAATAACAACAGTTATAATAAATATAACAACAGTTATACTAAATAACATTTATAATAAATAATAACAGTTATAATAAATATGGTCATTTTAAAAGGAGCTGCATGATGAAAATGTTTGGCCACCCCTGGTTTAAGGTATAAAATAAAGGACCGCGTGAGCTCCGGTAAAATATAAATAAATAAATATAACTGTCATGGACATTTGAACACAACGATCAGCTATTATTAGAAATATTTTGTTTGACTCAGGAGCTGAACAAAGAACGCAGGATGTAATCAAATTAATGATGTCGTGTAAAGTCACACCCTGACAATTAAACCGCTCGAACCGGCGGGTTGGGTCGGACGTGTTCAGACTCACATTTGTTTGTCCTCAGGTGCCAAAGCCTGAAGAGAACCAGAACACGTATGTGGAGACGCCTCAGGATGTTCTGGGTGCCACGAAGCAGGTCTCTTACAAAACGGAGATCATTGGTGGAGTTCCTATTACCACAGCCACTCAGGTAACTTCCTGGCGCCGTGCGCTCACAGGTCCCGTCTTGTCTGGTATGCAGCTACAAAAGCACGTCCGACTCACCGTTGAGCTGCTGGCTGTTTTATGATGACACACTGGTTTGTGTGAAAGACTCGTTCCAGACCCTGATCCAGACTTTAGAACCTCCTGCAGCAGCAGGTACTGACCCAGTGATGGCAGGGAGCCCAAACCATCAGTCCTCCACCACCGTGCTGGTTCACAGTGTCTGCTCCCATGTTGTTTTTAGAGAGAAGAGGCCATGACCTTTGACCTTTGACCCGCTAACTGAGGCCTGTTGAGTCAGTCTGAGGTGGAGCTCATTCCTCTGAGCACTGCACAGTCTGACCTTCAGGGTGAATCTGCTGTGAAGATTGTCAGCTGTCTGAAATGTTTTGGTCAGAAGCTTCTGACAGATCCTGAACCTCTGAGATCTTCAGGAAGCACCGAGGCCGGACCCAGTTCTTTGGTTCCGTTTAATAAACACGACCTGACAAAGTCGTTACTTTGTCCGGATGCATAAAAGTGTTGGAGCTGAAACGGGTCATCTGTGCTGAGCAGGTGTGTGTGTGTGTGTGTGTGTGTGTGTGTGTGTTGCTGTAGGAGCAGAGCGAAGGGCAGGACGGGTCGGATCGAGTGAAGCGGGCTCAGAACCAGCTGCCCTACTTCCTGTCCAAAGGAGCCCAGGATCAGCCCTTTGTAAAGACTGGCTTCTGCGTGAAACAAGGAGCTGTGGTCAGAACACACACGCACGCACGCACGCACACAGAGTGTCATGTAGAATATAATTCAGTCGCTCATGATGTTTCTGTCTGGGGTCAGATGAAGAACTGGAAGAGGAGGTACTTCGTTCTGGATGAAAATACTCTCAGCTACTACAAATCTGAGCAGGTGAGGAGATTCAGCCAGTTCATGTTTTTAACCAAAGCAGTACCAGCTGCTGCTTAACGTCACTCCAACACACACACGAGTTCTTGATGGCAAATATCTGGTTATGCAGATGATGTGTGTTAGTTGCTGTCTGGAGTGTCTACTCGCAGAGCTGCACGTGTCCTGAATACCTCCTGATACGATCCACAGCCTGCCGGAGCTCGTGGACACACCCTGTGTGTGTGTGTGTGTGTGTGTGTGTGTGCTCACATACCTTTCCTCATCCAGCTCGGGGCAGGAAGCTCTTCTGAAATGTGTTGAAATTTATTTAGAGTCTCTGCAGCTCAGAAAAGAACACACCAACACATTAATAATTTAAATATTCATAAAAATATATGTGATGAGTTGTCTGTCAGGTGTGTGTGTGTTCTATATTTCAAAACTTTAATGTTTCTGTTTGTTGTTACGGTTGTGTTTATTATAACAGGACTGTGACAGTTAAAAATAAATCAGATTAATATTGAATAAAATGGAAAAAGTAATCAAATAGAACTTTAAAGAATAAAATAAATTATGTAAAAACAATTAAACAGTTTCATTTAGTACCTTTTTACTGATCAACATTTAGTTAATAAATCTTTATAAAACTTTTAGTTTGTTTTATTATTTTACGTTCATCTTATTTCAGTTGCTTTATTTCCATTCTTACTCAAATTTGCTGTGAGCCAATCAGATTAGAGCATCCACTTCCTGTTTATGATCCACATCCACAGGTGCTGTAGTAAGTATTTTACCTGGAGCTGGGTCACAGCTCACCTTTAGGAGAGAAATCATCAATAAACCCAAACTGCAAAGTTAGACGTCACTTTACTGGATCTGCAGTGTGTCCCAGGTTCTGACCCGTTAGGTTCTGATCCAAACTGAGGCCACAGGGCATCGAGAATTTAGATTTTTGTTTAAATAAAACTATAAACTTTACTAAATTAGTTTTTAAACATGACTTTTAGCTTTATTTTGGTGCTTCCTGAGTTTTCTTTTAGATTTCTTTAAATCTAGACGACAACAACAACAACAACAACAACAACAACATAATAATAATAATAATAATAATAAATAGAATAACATTATTAATAATAACAATAATGTAATAATAATAAAGAATAAATATTTTAGATTGATTGAATTTATATAATAATAATAATTATAATAAATAAATAATAATAAAATTATTATTAATAATAACATCCATCCATTATCTTTACCCGCTTCTTCCATTTTGGGTCTCGGGGGTCGCTGGTGCCCATGTACAGCAATCACTGTGCGAGGGGCGGGGGACACCCTGGACAGGTCTCCAGTCCATCACAGGGACACATAGAGACAAACGAGACAAACAACCATTCACTCTCTCTCTCACACCTAGGGACAATTTAGAGTTACCAATCAGTCTAACATGCATGTTTTTGGTCTGTGGGAGGAAACTGGAGCACCCGGAGAAAACCCACGCATGCACGGAGAGAACATGCAAACTCCACCCAGAAAGGCCCCCGGACTGGGATTTGAACCAGGGACCTGCTCGCTGAGAGGCAGCAGCTCTACCAGTTGCGCCACCGTGCTGCTAATAATAACAGTAGAAACTTTTAGACTGATTGAATCTCAAGTGTCACGATGAGCCAAAGGAAACAATGAAACAGGAAGTGCTCCACAAACACCACTTCCTGTGACGACAGGTTCCTGTTGTTTTCAGGACCGCGAGGCGCTGAGAGTCATCCCACTGAAGGAGGTCCAGAAGGTCCAGGAGTGCAAACAGAGGTGGGTCTGCAGGGGCACCAAAACCAGAGCCACTGGGTGGTCCTAGTTTGGACTGGGTCCAGTAAAAACCCTGTTCTTGTGTTCTACAGCGATGTGATGATGAGAGACAACCTGTTTGAAATGGTCACCACCTCCAGAACCTTCTACTTGCAGGTGATGAACGCTTGACTCCTCCCACTGTTTATCTCAACATCCATCCATTCATCCATCTGTTCATCCATCCATCTGTTCCATCCCCATGTTCCCAACATCCCTCCTAGATTAATCTTGGTCCAATCCTCACTCCAGGTCTTTGTGTCTTTGTCTCAGACGGACAGTCCAGTGGACATGCACAGCTGGATCAAGGCCATCTCCGGGGCTATCGTGGCTCAGCGCGGTCTCGGACGCTCGGCCAACACGGTGCGTGCCTGTCAGGTGAGCGTTCAACACCTCAGGTAGAACATGTAGACTTGTATAATCCAGTGCTGTGGCGCCATCATGTGGAAGAAACACCTACATGTTGCCGTGCGTCTTCTTCAGAGACAGTTTTATTCATATTTGCTCAGCTTTAACTGTTGCTCACAGATTTAACACATTTTATTCTGTTTCTGATCACCTGATAATGCTGATCAATAATGTGAGATTTTGTGTTTCTGTCCCTCTTCTGTCTCTGTTTGTCCCTTAAGAGTCCTCTTCTCTTTTCTTGTTTCTTAACAGTTCTGCTCCAATGTCCAGCATGTCTCTAAATGTCCAGCATGTCTCTAAATGTCCAGAATGTCTATGAATGTCAAACATGTCTCTAAATGTCCAACATGTCTCTGATTGTCCAACATGTCTCTAAATGTCCGGCATGTCTCTAAATGTCCAGCATGTCTCTAAATGTCCAGCATGTCTCAAAATGTCCGGCATGTCTCTAAATGTCCGACATATCTCTAAATGTCCGGCATGTCTCCAAATGTCCGGCATGTCTCTGAATTTCCAACATGTCTGAATGTCCAACATGTCTCTGATTGTCCAACATGTCTCTGAATGTCCTACATGTCTTTAAATGTCCAACATGTCTTTGACTGTCCAACATGTCTCTAAATGTCCAGCATGTCTATGAATGTCCAGCATGTCTCTAAATGTCCGGCATGTCTTTAAATGTCCGGCATGTCTCTAAATGTCCGACATGTCTCTAAATGTCCAGCATGTCTCTAAATGTCCAACATGTCTCTAAATGTCCAGCATGTCTCTAAATGTCCAGCATGTCCCTAAATGTCCAACATGTCTCCAAATGTCCAGCATGTCTCTAAATGTCCAACATGTCTCTAAATGTCCGGCATGTCTCTAAATGTCCAACATGTCTCTAAATGTCCAACATGTCTCTGAATGTCCAACATGTCTCTAAATGTCCAACATGTCTCTAAATGTCCAGCATGTCTCTGAATGTCCAA